GTCTAATCTCTGTCCTCCTGTCGCTTCTGTCTCTCGGTCTCTGTCTCTCTCATCTCTCTCTCTTCTCTCTCTCTCTCTCCTCTCTCTCTCTCTCTCTCTCCTCTCTCTTCTCTCTCTCTCTCCTCTCTCTCTCTCTCTCTCTCTCTCTCTCTCTCTCTCCTCTCTCTCTCTCTCTCTCTCTCTCTCTCTTCTCTTCTCTCTCTTCTCTCTCTCTCTTCTCTCTCTCTCTCTCTCTCTCTCTCTCTCTCTCTCTCTTTCTCTCTTTCTCTCTCTCTTTCTCTTTCTTCTTTCTCTCTCTCTTTCTCTCTCTCTTTTTCTCTCTTTCTCTCTCTCTCTTCTCTCTCTCTCTCCTGTTTTTCTCTCTTCTCTCTGTTTTTCTCTCTCTCTTTTCTCTCTCTCCTTTCTCTCTCTCTCCTCTCTCTCTCTCTCTTCTGTCTCTCTCTCTCTCTCTCTCTGTCTCTCTCTCTCTCTCTCTTCTCTCTCTCTCTCTCTCTGTCTCTCTCTCTCTCTCTCTCTCTCTTTTTTTTTTCTCTCTTTTTTCTTGTTGTCTCTGTCTCTTCTTCTTTTTCTCTGTTTCTGTCTCTCTTTCTCTGTCTCTGTCTTCACTCTCTTTTTTTCTTTGTCTCTCTCTCTGTCTCTCTCTCTCTCTCTCTCTCTCTCTCTCTCTCTCTCTCTCTCTCTCTCTCTCTCTCTCTCTCCTCTCTGTCTCTCTCTCTCTCTCTCTCTCTCTCTCTCTGTCTCTCTCTCTCTGTCTCTGTCTCTCTCTCTCTCTCTCTCTCTCTCTCTCTTCTCTCTCTCTCTCTCTCTCTCTCTCTCTCTCTTCTCTCTCTCTCTCTCTCTCTCTCTTCTCTCTCTCTCTCTCTCTCTCTCTCTCTCTCTCTCTCTCTCTCTCTCTCTCTCTCTTTCTATTTTTCTTTTTTTGTGAGATCTCTATCAAATGAGATCTCACAAGCATTGATATCCCCCCCCCAAAAAAAAAAGGTTTATATATATATTTCTTTTTTTTCAGCAGAAGTAATGTCGAAACCTGTAAAATCACCCTATCCAAGAGCCAAAATTGATTTGCCAGGTTCGTACCGTTCAGGTCCTAAGGGGTCTCAAAGGCCGGGAAGGGAGACATTGTTTCCCGAAGGATCAAATTCAAGGTCAAGGTTACTGCAGCAACAAGATCCCTCTCAGTTTAGATACAACCCTGAGAGTGTGAATGTAAGTTCAAGAGGCCCATTCAAGTGGCATTGATCTGTAAAATGATTGTTACTGTTATTGATATATGGTGTAGCTATGGTGTTTGTAGACTTGAATGCGCACATACATGGTTTTCTTCTGTTTATTCATACATCTTCCTACTTTCTCCTTTCTTATTTCTTTTTGTTTTCTTTTCTTCATCATCTTCCTTCTCTTATTTTTTCTCCTTTTTGTTTTTCCTTTTACTTTTATTTTCCTTTTATTTTCTTTTTTTTTTTTTCGTGTTCTCCTTTCTCATTATTTTCTTCTTCATATATTTACCATTGCCTATGTCTTTTTGCCTTTTTGATTAATTGTTTTTCTTCTCTTACAGAGCGACAAGCCTGAAGTTAGCCGTTTGCGTCGGTGGATATATCGGAATCCTCGCAGATTTCAGATTATTGGTCTCAGTCTTGGGCTCACAATTTTCTTCAGTCGTCCTTTGTATGACATATTTTTAAGAGAACATATTGAAGGTCCTTTACCTGTGAAGCAAAAATAAGGAGAGAGGCCCATTTGTAATCAAAATGGAGTCTGTTAAGAAGGCACAAAATCGTCTGCGAAATTACCCTAAACTTGTTGCAAACTGTGCACCTGTAGCAACTGAATATGCACGTTGTGTGGCTTTGAAAGGAAATGTACTGAAAGGAGATTGTGCTCAAGAGTTTGAAGCATTTAAAAGGTGTATTTTAGAATCTGCCAAAAAAATGAAAACAAAAATTTGAATTGGAAATACTAGGCAAATTGGATACTGCAGTAAACCTGAATAAAGAAAATACTATATTTGGTTATATTTTTCTAAACTGAAAGACTGTATATAAAGCATTTTATGCTTGTAACCCCAAGGGTTGGGATTAGAATTTCACCCTGCCTCAGTGATTTGTTTAAATCTCAAATATGGCTTTGGGCACCAAGAATTCACGCTTTGGATCAACAGAAGGAATTCAGATCCATTTGAGTCTGGGATTCCTAATTCGTTTCATGTTCATTGTGTATGGAGAGCATCATGACAGGACGCATGCTCTCAAATACACAGACATTGATTACCATGTCTTCACAGACGCTGCACATGAAGTGGCAGCAGGAGGTAGTCCATTTGATCGACATACTTATAGATACACTCCTTTCCTGGCATGGATGCTTTTGCCTAATGTAAATTTGCATTTCATGTTTGGTAAGTTAATGTTTGCATTTCTAGACTGTGTTGCATCAAAACTAATCTATCAAATACTTTTGATTGATGGGCTTACCAAGTTAACAGCTCTTAAATGCTCATTTTTATGGTTGTACAATCCTTTGGTAATAGGTGTATCAACACGTGGCAGTGCTGAAGCTCTTATGGCTGTCCTGGTCCTGTTAACAGTGTACATGCTGAAGTTGCGATTCAGTGTTCTAGCAGGCCTCTTTTTAGGAATATCTGTTCACTTTAAACTCTATCCCATTATCTATTGCATCCCACTCTATATGTCACTAACAAATGATTCGCACAGTGATTCATTGTTGAAGAGAGTGTTACCAAATTACACCAAGATGAGATTAGTTACTGGGGCAACCATTTCTTTCTTTGGTTTAACAGGATTAGGCTTCATACTTTATGGGGAACAGTACATTGAAGAAGCTTTCTTGTATCACCTTTCTAGGACAGACACTCGGCATAATTTTTCAATATATTTTTATTTATTATATATTGCTTCAGATTATCATATTCCAGGACTGAACATTGCCACATTTGGACCACAGCTCATTCTCCTTATTGCATTAGGATATAAATTCTGTCACAGACAAGATGTACCATTTGCCATGTTTACCCAGACTGTTGTATTTGTTACTTTCAACAAGGTTGTAACTTCCCAATATTTCTTGTGGTATTTACTTTTGTTACCCCTAGCTGTGCCTCGCTTAATAATGACAATGCAGAAGGCAGTGATATTGACTGTACTCTGGGTGGCAGCTCAAGCATCATGGCTTCTTCCAGCATATTTGCTTGAGTTTCATGCAGTAAATGCCTTTATCCCAATATGGCTAGAGAGCATTGCTTTCTTTTGCTGTAATGTTGGAGTGTTAATGGCATTGCTTTCAAGTTACACACCACACCAATTAGTACATCATCATAGCAGTCGAAAGAATAGATAAAAACAGGTTAAAACTGCACAAAAAATTATATATGAATGTGAAGTACAGTGTGTATAGCTATTTAAAGAAAGTAAGTTTTCTTTGATGCTTATGATAAGAACTGCAATGTTTTAAGAATAATAAGTGCTATGTATTGAGCAAGGCTCTTATGGTTTGGTAAATAGTTTACAGTTTCTTGCATCATATTTATAGCCATAGTTAAACAGTTTAGTTAAAAGTAGTAACAAATGGTATTTAAGTAAAAAGCAGTTGATTGATACCATATTTGATATAAACTTATTATAACTAAATAAAGTATTTTCTTAATGTTATCTAGCAAATTCTCAAAATTCAATGAAAAAAGTTTTCATCTTTTTCATGTTACAGATAATTTAGTAAGGTGGTTGATTATGCATTTATGCAGCCTATACTAGAGCTTATAAAAGTGTATATTGTAAATAAAATCAATTACTTGTAAGACATGTTTCTGTAATCACAGTAAATCCCCCCATCCCTTATTCGTTGTTGGTTAATGGTTAAAAGCGAAATAAATGTGCTAGACATTAAGATCATATAGCACTGTAGGAAGGTATAGTAAAGGGTGATGTCAGGTAATAGTTGCTATGCATCAACTATCTAGAGTGATGTTGGAAAGTTGAAGATGGGTAAGGGGGTTGATGAGGGAAAGGGTTATGGTGGTTTAGGTAAGGGAATTAGATCAAGAGAAGGATATCTATGCGTCTGAGGAAGGAGAACAGGTTGCTATAAGAAGCAAGGATATGACTTAAGTCTGGTCTGTGAGAACGGAAACCGCGGATATTCCAATGTAGGAGAGCTATATCTTAGTTATTTTATGAGTGAAAATGCCAGTACGTGTTGGGGAATCTGGGGGGAAAGGAACTAGAGGGTGTAAAGGAGGGGTATCAGGTGGAAGGGAATCTGGGGAAGGGCATTGTTGTGACATGAGTGATTCCGTGTGTATCGGAAAAGGATAGAGGGGATGGAGGGAGGGAGAATGTGCGTATACTTGGAGTTAAAGAGGGTGGGTTGTGTTGGGAGGGAGTAGAAGGAAGTGGTGTGGGGGGAATATTAGTGGTAGGAGGATGGATATCGGATGGATAGTTGGAGTTGAAGGGGATGTGTTGTCTTGGGAGGGATTAGGAGGAAAAGGTGTAGGGAATGGATTTCAGGAGGATGGGTATCGGGAGGATGGATATCGGTGGTGGATGGAATTGAGGGGGTAGGTTGTGTTGAGAGGGAGTAGGAGGAAGGGGTGTAGGGGGAATATGAGTAGGAGGGGTATGGATATCGGCAATCACTTCAAGTATGGAGGGAGCATGAGTTATGGAATTTTCTGTCTTAAGCATATAGCTTTGAATGTCTTCCATAGTTTCTCCAGTGGAGTTGGTTGGAGAGTTTTGTGGGACAAAGGTTCTCTTATGAGAGGGGGAAGAGGCGACTGGTGTCTGAGGAGTAAAGGTAAAGGTAGGTGGAGGTGAGTGTGCGGTAGGAGAAGGAGTGGAACATTTAGTCTGTTTACTCCGGGTAGTGCGGGGAGGGAGAGGGGATGGCGTTGGGGCTGTAGTTGAGATTGGGGTGTCTGGATTTAGAGTGGCTAAAGAATTTGACTGGGGGAAGTAAAATGTAGAAGTGGAAGTGGTGGAAGTGGGGAAGTAAGCAGGTATAGTGGAGGGTGTAGAGACATCTTGAGGTGGAGGGGGAGGGGCAGATTGAGCGACATTACTAGAGGAGGGAGTATGAGAGAAACCTTGTCGACGTGCTTCCCGTCTGGCTTCACGTAAAGTGAGACCATTTTTGTATCTGAGTTGCTACCTTGGACTCAAACTTGTAAGTGGGACAGCCTCTATAAAATACATTATGGGGGCCGCCACAGTTAGCACATGTACGTGTTTGTGCAGAGAAGTTTGATCGGTTATGACCGGGTAGGGCACATAGAGGGCGTCGGGCTGTGGAACGGCAGTGTTTGGCAGGATGTCCAAAGCGCCAACAGTTCTGACATTGATGGGGAGGGGGTTGGTATGGTCGAACAGGGAGGGTTTGTCCACCAATGTAGATACGTAAGGGAAGGTCATGTGTACAAAAAGTAATTTTGGCAATGTTGAATGGTATAGCAATGTACTGATTTCAAATCTTGGTTTTTGAGGCATCCTAATAAGTCTTCTCCACAGTCTGACCAATCTTTGGTATCGACTGGGCAATTTGCTGGGGAGAGAGAGACAGTTCCGGTACATGTATTAGGGGTTTGGATGAGGTTCTCCAGGAATGGGGTTGCCAGAATGACCAGTTAATTTGATAGTGCTATAGATTTAGTTTCTGATCTGACTGTAATGAGACAGGAGCGATCGCGTCTGGTATAGAAAGGGACTCTGCCCACTTGTTTTTGGAGGCATTGTTGAAAGAGAAGAGTGTTGCCTGAGTCCCATTTAGCTGGACTAAACAGAGTATTTCAGATATTTGTAGGGTTGGTGGTGGTGGATGGTTGGGGACGTGTGGAAGAGGGAGTATTATGGAGTGATGGAGAATAAGGCTGTAAGGTAGTTATAAGGGAGGATGGTGTGCTTGATGAAGGTTGTGGGGGTAAAGTTGATGAATTTGAGGAAGGGAGGTAGGAATGTCTTCTGGAGACTGAATCTCTGCTTGGGTGGGTAATGCACTAGTAGCCATTGAGGATTGGGTAGTAGTTTCAGTGTTCAGAGTCATGGTCAAAGGAGAGCCTGGGGCCAGGGAACCAGTGGGGCTATTTGATGAAGGGGAAAGCCTCATTGCCCCTAATAAGGGTATTACATCTTCATTACTAGCCATGGGAAGCCTATGTAAAGGGAAATAAACAGTCCACCCCCAGTGCCCTGTACAGGGGTAAGGGCTAGACAACTAAATTGGGAGTATCGTGCCCATGGTTCCCGCAGGCCGTTCAGGACTTGCACAAGGTCAGCCTTTCATCCTTTCAGTATGGCTCTTACACCTTATGAAGTAGATAGTAGAAGGGGTTGGAGAAGGGACGGAAACAAAAAGCTGGAGGGGGAAAAGACCATGCAAAATTAGTTGAGTTGAGGGCTGAGGCCCTAGGCAGGGGAGATCTCTGAATTGGGCCTCAGTCTCCGTCTCCTAAGCCCCCCCATGACAACAACGGGCAAAGGATTGGGGGGGTGCTGAAAGGATGAAAGACTGGCTTTGTTAGTCCTGAATGGCCTCTGTACTCTGTTTGCTATTCCCTCTTTACCCTTTTGAGTACCATACTAACCTACAGCACTGAACAACACATTTTGTCCTAATTGTTAACTTGTATTTCCCTTTATCATAGTGCTGTATGACCTTTGATGTCTAGCACATTTATTTATTTGGAATCCACAAACATCACCTTTTGAACCAAAACACTTCCTTACCCATGGGCTTCTCCCCTAAGCCTCAGCCTCTCACTATATTTTGAATACGATGCTAATGACATTAGATGTTGACACAGTAGAAAATATTCAACAAATAAAAAACTGAAAAAATAATGAAATTATATAAAAGTGGTGTTCCAATACTTTTCCAAATTTCCTCTTCTCTTTATCATTTTCTCCAATGCTGATAATATATCGCATCTCATCATCAGTATTTCAGAAAAAAAAGAAGGCTAATAATTTCACACATTCCCATATGTTCCGAGG